ACCGGGTAAGGAGCGGGTGCGGGCGCGCATGGGCGCGCGGGCGCGGGGGGGGGGGCTTCGCCGTTCCCGGAAGTTCCTTACTTCCGGGTTCGGCGACCAACCGGATCGCAGGGACCGCCGCGAACCGGTTGAAACCCACCCCTGATGCTCCATCACTGGAAGTTTTTAAGAAGAGACTGGACAGCCATTTATTCAGAATGATATTGGACTCCTGCTTGGGCTGGAGGTTGGACTAGAAGACCCCCAAGGTCCCTTTCCAACTCTGTTATTCTGTATTCTATTCTGCATCCAAAGCAATCGTGACTTGGGTTGTTGTGGTGTCTGACTAGCATGGGCTTTGACCAAAACTTGATCTAAAACATCAGATCACGGCCTTCGAGGGCCAACATAGAACCATTTGCTGAATGTCCATTTCCTTGCTACTGAATAACCACCACTAGTCTTTAAGCAGCTGGGATTAAGGGGAGGGCCTGTTCAGGCAGGATTCCAGATTGAACTCAGGAACTTCTGTCCTGCCCAAGCTTACTTCTTTTCCGCTCTAATTCATATAGAAAACCTGTGCTCCCTCCAGCAAGGCCTTGCAAATGAGCCTGCAGAGTCCATTATTACATGATTTATACCTCACCTTGTTCTCTGGCAAGAACGTGAGACGAATTACAAAATGTAAAAAAAACCAACAATATAAGAACACGAAAAGCTAACCTTAAAATTGAGAATAACTTTGGCCCTGGAAATCATCTGACATTAAAACGGCTGGTGAAAGAGCTCCATTGATTAATTCCCCAGCTATTGAAAGCTGAGAATGACCTGCATCTCCTGAAGGGAAGGAAGGGGTACTGAGGGCTGGAAGCAACACAGGAGGGGGGGGGCGCTGCTCCAATCAGGCTTGGTCAGTAGGAGCGGGGGCTTCTCTGGCAACTCTCAACAGCCAGGTGGGATTATTCAGAACAGGACCCAGGCCTTGCACCACCCTGTCTTCAAACAAGCTCGCACTACTTACCAACCCAGATGCTGCCCTTTGCATTGGGAGGAGGCTCTTTGGGACACTTTTCACTCTTGTAGACCACACTGTAGTGGAGACAGCATGTCATTCCGACATACCTGTTTTTCCAGCTAAAAATGCAATCTTATTCAAAACAGACTGAACTGCAGCCCTTCGCTCATATGTCTTCCTTTCTGTCTGTTTTAATTTCAGCTTATTCTGCCTCATCCAATCCAATGCTGAATTTAGGCGGTCTTCACTGCTTCCCTTGAGTTGGACGTTCCAGGTCAACAGCTTCCAAGAAGAGCCTTTCCTTAGAGGGCAGCAAAGGATGGAGGTGGCCCCGCCTGTTGCAGCCCAATGACAACAGAACGGAGGGAGAGGAAGGCTCACCAAAGAGCCACAAAGACAGACATCAACAAGTGTCCCAAAAATATCCAGCTTCCTCCTCCTAGAAATGTACTCACTCTGACAAAGGTCCCTTCACATTCCTTAACTCCCCACAATTCATTTGAAGTTCATGATTCCAGAACCCCAAACACCTCTGAAGACATCCCCACTAGAAGGGCCCCTCAGGCCTTCAGCCTTGGAAAGCCCCCAGGAGGATTTCCAGAGGGCAGGAACAGAAATGGAAGGCAACCTCCGTGGGGCCCACTTAAGAATAAAAATCACAACCCTCAGCAACAGCTTTTTGATCTCTTCAGGAAAGAGTCTCAGAGAGGAGAGGAGAGAAGACAACAGAGTTAGCATTTTTCATTTCTTAAAGGCACCAATGCTGAAATAAAATATTCGGCTGTCTGGCAGTCCCTGGTCCTAATCCTGACCCATGGCTGCAATGGGGGGGGGGTTGCCCAAGAATGCCCGCAAGCCTCGTGCCCTTAATCCACACAGTTGCTTGGCTCCCTCAGCTGCAGGTGAGGGGGGCTGAGATCGGAGGCTCCGGACAGCAGCTGCAGACGGCACAGGCAGACAGAGAGCTCTTGGGCAGACTGAGGCCCAATCTCTCTCTTCCTCTCGCCAAGCTCTTCCACTTAACTAGGGCATTTCACTTTGAGAGAGAGTCTAAGGAACCAGCAGATAGAAATCCATCGTAAGAAATGAAGACATGTGACCTCTTTTCTGGAATTAAGTCAAGCCCAGCACAATAGATAGGAAGAAACGAAAGAGGAAGTTGGACAAGTAAATGACAGCTTTTGGCATGGTGCTAAATTAACTTAAGTTCACCTTTGCTACCCAGAACCTTGCAATCAGCTGATAAACACTAAAAAAAACTGTGACAGTCAGAGTTTAATTTAAACTGGATCCTATTTGATTCAGATCAGATCAGTTCTGAAGTATGTTAAGAACCATGTGAAGGAAAGAGTTCACTCGGAACACACCAAAAACATCTGGCACACCTGGCATTCAGGACCTGGGCTCTGAAGTTTGTGAAAAATTTAGCATAATAAATAGCATTACACGTAGTATAAATAATATCCTGCATGTGCTTCAAACTGGTGCTTAAAAATAAGAATGATTATAAATAAGTCAAAAAACCCAGGGGGGGGGGAAGAGGGGGATGTCCAGCAGCAAACTCATTTAAAAAACAAAACTTTAATCTGAATTGGCCCAGTCAAGAAAAAGCCCAGCTGACTCTGTGTGTGGGGGGGGGGTGGGTGTGGGTGTGGGTGTGTGTGTGTGAGGGAGCCTGCAAGAGAGGAAGAACGGCCAACCTCTTTTGGGGAAGGACATGCAGGCAAATCATTCCATGAGCTTAATCTGCAAAGAGACCCTTTTAGGTTCTATGCAAAGTGGCACCTTCCACACACCAGTTTAGACTCCTTCCAATGAAGCTGGCATGGGTTGCAGGACTATTACATGGACATCCAGCAGGGCTGGGAAGCGAAGCTCAGCCCCTGACCAGGAGTCCAAGACCATCCAGGCAAAACCTTCCCTGTGGCAGCTGAGGGTGAAGAGACCCAGTTCGGAAGGTCTGGACTCATATTTGAAAACACGAAGTCCGCTGCCCACGAGGCCTCAGAGAACGCAGGTGGTCCTCCACTTAAGACCCCATTTGGGAGCAGTTTCCATTGCTAAGCAATGTAGTTAAGTGAGCCAGGCTTGATTTTGTGACCTTTCCTGCCCCTGCAGTTGTGAAGTGAACCTCAAAGTCATTAAGCGAGTGCAGCTTCCATTGAGCCTGCTTGTAGGAACCCCAGTGGGAAGGTCACAAACGATGGTCATGTGTGTTCACAACGACCACAGTGTAAACAGTGCTACTTGCCAACCACTTGAATTTGGACGATGTGACTGTGGGGAAGGTTGCAGTGGTTGCAAGTGTAAGTCACATTTTTCAGTGCCGTTGTAATTTTGAATAGTTACTAACTAAATGAGTGATTGTTAAGAGGGAGACTGGCGGTAGCCGTACTTCTACTCACAAAGCATCTCCTTTGCTCAATCAGGGGCTCCAATCACAATTGTGCTTAATTTGAGCCCAGCTTCATCAACCTCTTTGGGACAGGGAAAGGCCAGCGCCCAGCCAAGCGATTTCCCAGTGGACACCACATTACCCATACCAAAATTGGCAGTTTGTGCGGGACAGAATTCCCCACCTGCTGCAAGGGGGGCCAGGGAGAACTTGATCCAAGGCCTCTTCGCATATTTCTTCCTATTCCTGGTCTTCGGGGGAAGGTAGTGGAAAAAATGGGGCCGGGAGCTGAATGGTTTCTGGAGCAGAAGGCAGGATCTCAGTCTGTCATGACTTGGATGCTGGTAGATCGGATTTAATCGAAGCACCTGCTCCTTGCCATCTAGATGGCTTCATCCCTCCCCGGGGGTTTCACAAGCCCCTCCCAAAATGGACAAGGGCTGCCCACACCAGGCCTCTTTTGTTCTCCAGGTTTCTCCCAGCTCTCTGCAGGGCTCACCAAAGAGGAGCCCTTCTGAGAGCCCTTTTCCAGGCAGAAAGCAGGAAATTCTTCCAAGAAGAGACTTTTCCTCTTCTGAGGCAAGGAGTCCCCTAGGCCCTGAGTCCAAACTCCGACTCTGCCTAAACAAGATGGGGGGTGGGGAATGATGGACAAAGTTTGAAAGGTTTTTGCAGGACCAGTTCTTTCATGCCAAACTGGGGTTGCCAGAACAGGGCAGGGGGCCCTCTGCTCATGGCCTGCAAAAGCTGAGGACCGGAGGCTGCTGGGACCCCTCATCTCTCCCAGCTTAGCTGCCTTTCCATGGAGGAGCAGGGGAGCAGGGGAACCCTCCCTCCCACTCTCGCCACTGGTCCGGTTTATGGCTTACGGTTTATTAGGATTTGTATGCCGCCCACTCTCGAGAGACTCAGGGCGGCTTACAGATAAAGCAGGAAGGGGGAACATATAAAAATTAAAGAGAGTCCAAAGGTCTGAAGCCTCTTCAGTGGAAGGTGGGGACACCCACCTATCAGCCAAGCTTCCCAATGGACTGAGGAGCACCTGCCCTCCCTGCTGGGGGGGGGGTGTCCATTCTGAGCCGGCTGGCTGTGCCCCTTGCCGCTCTGCACACACCAGGCAGGGCTGGCCTACCTTTCAGGTTGTTGAGCCCATCCAGGAACTTCCGATACTTCTCGGTATTCATTTGTTGCTTTCAGCTGGAAGGAGCTGCCACCATGGCCCAAAGGGCTGAGGAACCTGCAAAGCCACCGTCTGCCCAGCTCTGAATCCCAGGCACCCGATCGAATTGCCCTTTGCTCCCTCTCTCCCTGCAGAGCCTCCCTCCCGGCGTGGTTGGCCCTCTGCTTCCTTATTTGATGAAATGAGGCTTAAAGGCCTCATTGGTCCCCAGCCAACCCTGCCCCCACACCCCTCCCTCTTCCCCGCGTAAAGCAGCAGAGCAGCCTAGGGTGGCCCCATCTGTGAGCCAGCCGGAGGTGTTGGGTTCCTCCATGCCTCCCCTCCCACCCACCCCCAAACCAAGTCACACACAAAGAGGCACTAAATGCTCACCAGCCTTTCTTTGGGCGTCCAGACGAATGGATGCCGCTGAAGAGAAAGGCAATGAGGAGAAGCCAAGCTTTAAACCAGGGTCCACCCAAGGAATTCCTCAAAAGCACCAGGAAGGAACAGGGTGATAGCAAGCAGGAGGAGCAGACAGGCCACAAAAGAAAGGAGTATCTCCCCTGGTCTTTGGTGAGAAAGAGAAGCTGTTAAATCACAGACTAACCATTTGTGATATTTATAACAGGAAGCCCTCTCGATGTGTGAGGCTACAATTCTTATTATCAGTAACTGAAAATGTTTTCCCCAGATCCCTGGATGAGGGGGGAGGGGACTTTTCTTCATTTCCACTTCTGCCCCCCCCCCATCCTTCCTCTCATTTGGTGTTTCTACTAAACCTCCTTCCACATTTACTCTCTCAGAGCAGGGGGTGCATTTTTCCTGCATCCCTCTCCCAGGAAATACATCTGCAGGCTGCCCTTCCACGCTTTCAGAGTTATCAGACACCTGAAAGGAAATATTCACCAGGCACGTAATGCTTAAAAAGTAAAGCTGTTTTCATTTATCAAAATCTTAAGGTGTCCTCGACACACCTCGACACAACACTCAGGGCCAACCAAGAAGTGAAACAGGCACTTTCCATGATGTGCAAAACACAGACAGGAAAACTACATCAATGACTACAGATTAATTGTAGTTAAAGCCATTAAATGGGCAGAACCACCACAAACAACAGTTTGATGAATGGAATCAAGTCTTATGTGGTGTGTGTGATGTTGGCTTAATGTGATGCATGAACTAGATATTGTGGCTTGTAAACATGTTCATCCAAACCATCATGGCTTGTTCAGCAAATCATGATAAAATAAACCATGTGTTAGCCAATTTGTGAATATCACCATTATAAGTCAAAGTGTGTTATCCCTTTGAGATAGTCTAGACAAGAAGCATATTGTATCTATTCACTGTAAGGTTACATTAATAGAATGTTGCAAGGCTGAAAATACCCTTCCTCACTTTCCTTTTACTCTCCAGAAAGCCAGGGAGGGTCCCTTCTGAAAGGCTTCCCACCTTCTGCAGCCTGAGCCACCTTTTACACACCAGCCTGCAGCTTCCCCTCCTGCTCGCTGAGCTCATCCCCACAGGCCATGAGGAAGTGGGACACAGCAATCCTGGCCAATGGAAGGATCTGGAAAGGTCCGTCCTCCCCAAGTCAACCCATCTGGTGCAGTATTATAAACAGCAACCAGGTCCACACAACGCAGAGCAAACTACAATGGCAGCTTCCCATTGAAACAAAAAGAAGCAAAGCCCATCAGCCCTGGGAGATTTGGGCTGAAGGTTTCCCATATTCAATCAGCAGTCAGACTTTATGTACACCCAGGGCGAAAGGCTGGCAATTGGGGACTTCTTGCACAAGCGCTGTCTCAACTCAAGCTCTCAAAAGCAATTGGAAAACAATGTGTGATCATCTTTATCCTGCCAATTTCAAAATGCCAATAATAAGGAGCGAAATATCCAAACTGCCACAGGTCTTGCAGCAATGAAAACTTCTCCCCCCACAATAAAAAAGGGCCATTTGCCAACATTCTCACCCCATCTGCAGCCTCCTTTCATATTACATTCCCTTATCTGGTCATTTAACAACCCAACAGTTCCTAGAAAGGGGAGCTGAAAGACAGCCAAGCCCCCTTTCCACTTGCAAGTCCAGAAGCCCAAGAAGCTAGAGGAAGGACAGATGAGGCAGGGGTGTCCATAAACACATCGCCCACAAGCTGCAGAAAGCCACAGTTCACCCTAACCCTCATCATAACCCGGGCAACTTCATCTTTATTCCAGGCAATTCGCCACAGCACAACAGATGCTTAAGACTGAAATTGGGGCTTTCAGGACAAACCTCACCAGACCACCAGACAAAATCCACCAGGCCACCGAAGGGTGATTTTCTGATGCACAGAATCTCAGTCTTGCTAAGACCTTTCCCATCAGACTTAGCAGAACCTTCTGCTGTACAGAGCCCCCTCCCCAACCTCTGTGCCTTCAGAAGTCTGTGGACACCAGCTCCCAGAATCCCTTCGCTCGCATGGCCGTTATCGAGAAGCCTGGGAAGCAACCGTGCACATTTAGAGAGCACATAGAAAAGGCTCTTGCGCAGAAACAGCAGGATGAAGTCTTCAAGCTGTGCTAGGCAAGTTGTTCCCCATATGATTAGCGACATGCTTTATTACTGTACATACATAAAACTGCATTTGTCGTTTAAATTATGCTTGCCAATCTAACTGAAAACACTGGAGGGGGGGTTACAAAATGAAAATGAGAATGATTGATGAGTAGAAAAGCCTCTTGTGAACTTCTCAGTTTCCCTCTGTGATTACACAAGGCTTTCATTAACTCTAATGAACCAAGTAGCTATCCTACACTCTGTGCTAAGCTAATAATGCAGTGTGTTCAGTTTCTCAGTTAAGGCAGGGTCCTCAGCTACTTTGGACAAATAAGAGACAGGGAATTTTGCAAGCAAGTTAAAGGGAGTGTCCAAAAATTAGCCCCAGGGATAGCTAATAAACTCAGGGGCTGCCAAGGTGGTACAAGGAAGTGAGGGAGGCCGGGAGACCAGAGAGGAAGCCCCTGAGGCCCCACTGGTTCCTATGGGCTTCCATGCTCAAGAATAAAGGTTCAACCTGTTACACAAGTGTTTGCAAACCACTGCCATTATTTACTTAACAGGTGTAAATCCAGTTATGTCCAGGGCTGTATCCACAGAGGGATAGTATCAAGATCAAGGGAACCCTGCTAATAATACTGTTCTGCTGGCATTGTATAAACAAGGCCTCGCTTGGAATTCTGCATCTGGTTCTGGTCACCAATACAGAAAAGATGCTGAGGCTCCAGAAAGAGGGCGGAGAAGAGCAACAGGGGCGATCAGGGGTCTGGAGGCTAAAACGTATGATGAAAGGCTAAGGGAACTAGGTATGTTTGCCTGAGGCTCACACACCAGCCTTCTTCCAGTACTTGAAGGGTTGTCCCGGGGAAGAGGGTGTCGATTTGTTCCCCCAAGCACTAGAGCGCAAGACAAGGAGCAACGGATGGAATCTCATTAAAGGGGGATCCAACCTGGAAACAAGGGGGAATTTCCTGACTGTGAGAACTGCTAAGCATGGAAGAGTTTGCCCCTTCAGAGGTGTGGATGCTCCATCACTGGAGGTTTTCAAGAAAGGGTTTGTCTTGGGATGATAGGAGGACTTCTGCTTTCTGCAGAGGGTTGGACCAGAACACCCCAAGGTCCCTTCCAGCCCTAGGAGTCTATGAAGTGCAGTTCTTTTATTGAACAAGGGATGACTATGATTTGTGAACAAGCCATTGAATTTAATTTAAACACCTCAGCTGTAGAAAGATGCATGTCCCAGAACAACTAACAGCAGAACCAAGCAAGAAAAGCTACGGGCCAACACCCTCCCCTGAGGTGAAATACCAACTTCGATCAATCTTTTCTAACCAAAGGCCCTGAAGAGATGTTGGCACTGCAACTCCAAGCTCACTTGAAGGGCACTAACAAAGAAGGGAGGGGGCTGTAGAGCCCCTTCCTTCAGCATTTCCAATCAGAAGCCCCCCACTCCTAAAAACAGACATTCAATCCCAGGTCCAAGTCCAAACCAACACTGACCTCAAGAAAACAAGAATGGAACGATGGAAATAAAACTTAAAGAGGAGATATTGGTTGCGCATAAAGATCTGTCTGATAAACTTGAGACTCGGGTTCAGAAGATCAGGGATGATATGGGGGTTGTTAATTTGTTAACAGAATATGTCTCGGAAATTGAAGACAGATTAGGAGATCTTAATGATGCCAAGACTAATATGGTATCGAAAATAGACGTGGTGCAACAGAAAGTTGGAAATGCTGAAAAAGAAATTATTATGCTACAGTATAGACAAATGGAGTTTGCTTTAAGAATAAGAGGTTTGCGTGAAAACAGTCAGGAGAATTTGAAACAGATTCTCTCCGAAGCCTTTGATAATCTGTTGGGAAGGCCAGGGGGAAATTATGATTGGCAAATTGATAAGGTTTATCGTGCTAACTTCTGGCTGGCGAAACAGAAGCAGCTCCCAAGGGACATT